TTTTTTCAGTCTCAAGTAGCATATTACTAGCAATTAATACTTTTTTTTTTAATTTCATGAAAAAAAGTAAAGTTCTAGTATGAAATGGATATAATGTATCAGTGAGCATAACGATTATTATTTTTTAATGTGCTAATTTAAAAGTACTTCACAAAGTCAGTTGATATTCGATAAAATCCCAATACTTACTAACAAAATATAACGATGGGAAAAAATAAGTTTTTTTTTTTATCAAGGTACTATTAAATAGGTATTCTTCGGCTTAAAAGTATACTCAACATCCAAAATAAACGTCAGTTAAATATTTATTACTGTTGAAACAAACGCTTGTAACAGATACTTGTCATAAGATTCTGTGTATTATTGTTAGTAAGCATCGACAACTTTTCCCCTACAGGTGGCGTTATTTCAAATTGCTGCACGAAGTGAACACATCATTTACCACGGAAGTACTAATCACTAAGTGTGCCCTAATCACCATATATTCAAAATCTGCCTTTTCACGCCACCGATGTTCGCGTCTTAATCAGCTTAAAGACTTCAAAAAATGGTTGTATTAGCTTTTCTGCACTATCGGTCTAACAGGAAATATAAAATATAGCTTTCTATATTTTGTATGGTCTAGTTTTAATTAATTAAACTCGGGTAAGACTAGTATTGATTGACGTCCAAACAAACTCATACTTTGGTAGGATTGGTAAGGTTGGTGCACATAAATGAATAGATAAAAATAAAGAAAAATAAAAGTTGCAAAAACTGGTGGTCAAATTTAAAAAATTTAGGAATTGTGAATTTGATTATGCCAAAAATATTAAGATGCGTTTATCGGCAAGAGTTCCTATGCGATATTATTGAAAAAAATAAGTTACGTGGTGTAAACAATGATAATCAAATTTAGGTAAGTGTCTACTGAAACTGACGTAATTTTAGAGTGTGTATTTCTAAACAATAAACATTTCTTAATACATAAATAATAATAAAAAGAAATCGAAAATTAATTTGGATGTTATTTAAGATTGTGGTAAAAACTGGAGTTTGTCAGATGGTTTGATTGATGACGATGATCACAATGAAGCTCATGAACTTTGAAAGAAAAAAATTCAATTGAATGATAGATCCTTTGTTAGTAAGCTGTATTTACTTTTTTATAATTGAGATACGTATTACAAAAATTTTAAATAATGTATTATGTGTCGTATATTTGTATTTCATGTGTGATAAAGTCTTGTCCTTCACTAAAAGTCAGGAATTGATAAAACATAATATTGATAAAATTTTGGTAAAAATGTTTAACTCAGTTGTGAATTGTTAATTTCTTCATTACTTTTATGATTTAGTAAGCAGTTAATTTATTTAAACTATATTTAAAAAATAAAATATTAGAAAGAATGAAATGAACAGTGCGACTTTAGGTGTCACACATGCATAAAAACATTTTCTTTTTATTGCAGAGAAATAATAAGTATAAAATAAAGCCTATATGTTATAATATTATTTAGCCTGTCATTGATGGTGTCATACATGTCGCAAGAAAAAAAAAACAAAAAAAAACCACAGTTTTATGTATGAAAAACAAGTACGACGTACACGATTAAAGACTGCACACGGGTGTGTCGATCAATAATCATAGGCCATCTGATTATCATTCGACATATTGTTGTGATCTTGCGGTGAATGCATTCACGCGCACCTTACTTTTATATCTGCAGACAGAAATAGATTTTGTTTTTTTTCAACTATAAGTATGAACCATTTTACAATTGTTACATCATCTAAGCTATCTATCTCTCTAGCATCGTTTTAAAGCATACGTTGTATTTAAAAATATTTTTTAAACAGAAATTACTGGCATGTCATTGAACATCTCAATAAGAGTGTCTCTTTCACTCTTACGCTTTCAAGGTTTGTTCAGAAGCCAAAATCTGGCGACCCACGGCGACCCACGGCTGCCCGCGGTAACCCAAGTTTGACGAAAGACCGAGCGTTCTTTAGCTAAGTTCAGGCGACCACGGGCGGCCATCAACGTTTTTTGTGTAAATTTTGTCGTTGGCTGTAGAGGTTACAGTGCAGTTAATAGCTAGTGAAATGGACCCTGAAATCGAGGATGACTATATTTCTGGTTCTTCGACCTCGTCATCGTCAGACTCAGAGAGCAGCTCGGTATCATCACTGAATCTAGATGAGTACCGTGATTTCTTTGAATCAGAGTTTTTTAATGATGATTGCTTCCGAAATAAACAAAGAATTTGCATCAAAAACTTTGAAGAAACAATTAACAAATACACCGATGCAGAGTTCAAAAGTCATTTTCGAGTTCCTCCAAATGTTGTTAATAACTTGATAGAACTGTATATTAGTTCTGATTACTGCAAGCCACTTAAAATAGATAAATAAATATTTGAACCAATTTCTATTTTTGGAAACGGTCCGGTTGGCTCACATTTATTATTTTTTCTTTATAGCTGTTAGGTTCTTCCATCGCAGACCTTGGAGAGGATTGGTGATTCTTGGTTGAATGCTTAAAGTCGAGAGAATAATATAGGGTCGTCGGTCACCGGGGTTCCCAGCCTTTCGACGAACAACTGCTCGTGACGTCTGCCAGTGAATGACTGACTTGGTTTAATAGTAGCCGGCTTTACATAGTCTTTTAGTTGATGAATCGTCTCCGGAAATCGTAGTAAAAATGTATTTGTTGGCAAGGCAATTTAAACTTAGGTGGTCCTTAAAAGAACCGATGAGATTGATGGATAAGTAAGGAACGAAAATACTTATTATGGCCCTGAAAAGGGTGAGTGGTGAAACTTGCAGCTATTGCTTATTATTATTCTTGATGATGGAGAGCCAGCTGCGGGTCGCTTGACTCTTATTTTGAGTCTCTGAGTATGAAGACCGTACAGGAGGGAGGTATGACGCTGACTAAAGAATATCTCGTCTTCAGGTCGTTCTCCAGTTAACCAACCGTTAATCGTTAGTTAGGAAAGTGGGCCTGGAGAATACCGTCTCTGTAGGTATACCGTTGAGACGGCCAATAAGAAGGAGGCTGTTGTGGTCACCCGTACTCTTTAGGGCTGTTTTCCCTGGCTTGTATTTGAAGGAGAAAATTCTCTGACGGCACTAGGTCAAATGGTTGAACGGCCACCAAACGGACAAAGTGTTAGAGCAGGTTGGGCTCTGGCTGTACAAGTTCTAAACGCTCATTTTTCCGTGGCAGTCGGTTATTTTGGCGATCCAGGGTTAAACGTTAAATCCGATTTATTTCGCTTACCCATAAAAGAAGAGAGTTATCGGTAGCCGGAATGCGCAGCTGCACGACGGACTACTCTGTTCTTGGTGTAGTACTGTAGTGCCGGTGATCGATTACGATAGTCGTAGTTTCGATGGGGCATATTATAACTACTCTTGGCTATCTTTGATTACGGGTGGCTTCAATTTAATTTCGACGCCACCTAGCGGATCGTACTGAACTAAAGCGCAAAGCTAGCTTATTTTAGCAAAACTTTGAGCTTATTTATCTCTATTGTAATTAACTTTTTCAAGAAAAAAACTATGCAAAAACCATCTCGGAATCATGAAGAATCAGTATGAAAAATTTCAGCAAAATCGGTTCAGTAGTTTTTACGGTTAGCGATTACAACGGTTTTAGCGACTTTGCTTTATATATTAGTAAGATGTAGATTTAGATGCCTGTATCACTTGCGACTTAAGTCATGTGTTCGTAGATATAGAAGTAATAAGATCCTGTTGTGTTTTACACAATATGGCTTTGGAAAGAGACGCCACGCAATATCTGGAACATCCTGAAGGTTTTGACAGGGAGCTTAATTAAAATTTGACATGCAACGTTGAAAATTCGGATTTGGATAACATTGATTTTAATGAGGATGGGCTCCGTATAAGGAATGGTATGTTACGCAGATTTAAATAATTTGAAATTTTTTATGTACGGAGATTTCACTCAACTTACTCAAACTTAGTGTATTATTATATCGTTAGTAAAAAAGCATTTAAGACTTTCGTAATGCCGATTAATTTAATGCTTCAATAAATACTTTTTTATGTATCAGTAAAATATGTTACATTTTTAACATTATAATGGTGTTCTTTAATTATTACAAGGTACCAACAATCAATGCTCCTTCACGTATAAATCACAAAAATATCTTACGTACTACTAAGAAACACTCAATTTTGTTTTAATAAATGAACACACTGTTTCATTTTTAAGAGTATAAAGGTACGTGTTACTTATTACAAAGTACCAAAAATCAATGCTTTGGAACTGGAAAAATCACAAAATATCTTACGAACGTCTATTAATATTCAATTTTTTTTTAAAGAAATTAACAACAATTCTCGATCTTTTAAAATTATAAAGGAATATGTGAACTATGTTAATTATTACAAAGTAACAACAATCAACACTTTGGCACTTGAGAATCACAAAATATATTACGTACTATTTTGTAGTTTCAATGTTATAGGTTACCTTATAACACATTTCATATTTAATTGTCTGTTATTTTGTTACGCGTGACACTATTTACTGCCTTAAGAGAACCAATAGATAAAATAAATTAAATGTTGAAATCAAAACTATCTAGAGATAGAGTAGCCGCATACTTTTTAGCCTTTAAACGCAGCTTTAACTTTTTTAACCTAATCATTTCTTTTCGGTGATCTTCCTTAGCCTCATATTCTTTTTTTTTTTAATGAAATTAATTCGTCTTTTCTTTCATTTTTTTCTTGATGCCACCGCTCCCTCAAATCTGTTTCGGATGCTCGCAAAACAATATTACATTGTTTTCTTTTTGTCCCCGACGGTCTGATAGGGATGTTAATTACCTTCATCTCTACGAACAGAAACAAAATTAGTTACTTTAAACCTTTGTGATATATTTGAATTAAATAAAATTACAAATACTCATTGGCTTTCATTGAGTGATACATCCAAATCTTGTATTACATTTTGTTCAGTAGCCACAGCAGCAGTTGATGATAAATTAGCAGAGTCTTCGAAGGCAGACGACGTATCTATATATTTTTGTGTTGTCAATAGTCGCAGTAGGGATCACTGCGTGATCATTACGGAAAGCATTTTCTAGTTCTCTGCAAAGAATTCATATAATTTTAATATTTTATTTACACTTACTTGTTACAGCAAAAAATATACTCATTTTTCATATGGTACATTCAAGCGAGCCCTGCCTGTTTGTTTGGGATCTTTACTATAGATTTTTTTTTGTACTGATCTTTTAAATTTCTCAGCTTGTTCTCTAATTGGTGAACATCAAAATCACAACCATGTTTGGTCATTTTATCACAAATGCTACGGTACAGGTGTTTTTTAGTTAGAACAGTACCGTCAGCATATCTGTTATTGATTTCAACGTACAAATGTAATAACAACTTTACTTTATCAGCTGTCCATAAAACTTCAGGTTCTTTGGTTTTTGTTTTACCCTCCATACAAGCAAGAGTTTCGGTACGTAGCTGGTTTTGTTGACGGATACTAACATTATTATCACCGATCTTACTGATCCGATTAACTGGAAGAGCATTTTCGAAAACTTTTGAAGTTTCAAGGTCATTTTTAATTACAGTGGCTTTCCTTTGCAGTACAAGCTGCAGAGATTCATTGTCTGAAATATTCAATTACGTACTAGTTTTGTATCACTTGAAAAAATTAAATAATTAACCAAGTCATAACTTACTGTTTGGTATGAAATAAATGTAATTATCTGCAATTGTTAAGAAGCAGTCAAATAGAAACCACGGATGATCGTCGAGGCAGTTCCTTTCTATTCGTAAACCACAACTTCCGCACATAAACTGAACGGACTCAACCTGTTAAGTATAATAATTACGATCTTACAAATTTTATTTTATCACATTTGAAAATACGGAATTGTACTTACTGACAACCTCCCCTTGTTAAAATTTTCCACACGATCATTCGTAAGCTTAGCCATCCACTATTTTTATAACCAGTACTGGCAATAACTGTTACCACTATTGTGCCAATGTTGGGCCGTAAAATTATTTCATGAGATGAAACAATTAGAGATACGTGGAAATAGGTAAGATGAAACTAAAAAGGTATTAACTAATTAATAGGAAAAATTCGACTTTTTATACTGTATTTTTCAAAAGCAAATTATTGAATTTGCTAATTTTTTTTTTTTATATTTCTTTGATTAAAAATTTTATGCTTCTCTCAGTGAAAGAAAAAGATGGATCCGGATGAATCTTAGGGTGCGTAATCATGAAAAAAGTATTTGAAGGATCAAAAACGTAAAAATAATATAAGGTTTTTGTGGCAAATATTTTTCAGGTTTTTTTACATAGTTTTCCAGTGTATATTGCGGTACGTACCTCTTTTCACATTCTGTAAATAGAAGCTTGACTTTTTATCCAAACATTTTTAACTTTACTCACAGTCAGACGTAGTATGTAACGAGGCAAAATGGCCTCCACGTTCCAAAATGCTCTCGCTGATGCAACGTGTACACAAAAAAGCAGAAAGTCGAAGATTCTCCAAATTTGTTTGTTTTTGGGAGCTGTATACGTTGAGAGGAGGGGACGAGGACGCCAACGGACAAACAGTTGAGCCGCAGAGACGCAGCAGCGCCAGCGAGAAAGGACAAAGAAAACATGAACGCGACTACCGGGACACATAGCAGCTGCTATGTCGAGAGTGACTGCGAGAGGAGATACGTGGCAGCAGCAGCGGCGGCGGCCATTGCTCGAGCGAGAGATCGTGAGTCAGTCTGGAGTAGAGCCTCGAGCTGTACGCTTAAACGCGAGCAGCGAGAGCTTCGGTGACTTTACGGGTTTTCGTGGCGAGAGTTGAGAGAGTTTTTGAGAAGGTGCGTAGAGTGTTGAGAGAAGAGAGAGGAGTGTGCGTGCGAGTCGGAAAGTTGCTGTGTTCTCCCAGGACGACGAGGTATCTAGGTTGAGGACTAAGGCTGCTGAGAGAAGAAGAAGAGAGTAAGAGAGAGAGAGAGAGAGAGAGAAAGAAGAGAAAGGGTGAAGCCGTAGGACGAACGACCCGCTTGAGGACACCGGACGACATCGTGCTGCATTGGACTCGCGGACCCAAGAGGTAAGAGGGACAAAGGTGACGAACGTGATCGAGATTTGCTGATGCTGCGTCGGCGCTTCTTTTCGTTTCAGGTCAAGAAGCAGTGTTACAAGTAGAATCACAGTTTTATCTACATTATCTTTTTAAACTTGATGAACCTGAAAGTAGTCACTTTTTATTGGTAGCTGACCAACAATACTATCGGGTGCCACGAACAAAAGTTTTTTTTGCTCAAAGTCATCTGTGCCATTTTTTGCAGTATCGTCCTCACTCTCTGTCTATAATATCACCATACAGATAGAAAATTCCTAGATCTGTTGTTGATCATCTCTTCTTTTAGTGAAAGATCATATCAAGGCTTTTGTATTATTCGTATCAGTAGGCTCAAGAACTAGTTTTTCAAGTCCGACCATTGGATACTTACAACGGGTACCATCAGAGCTTTTGTATACTTGAAAGAAGATTGTTATTCGCCTAATCGCTCAAACAATTACGTTTAAGGTAGTTAATAAGTAAGTAGAAGGCTTAACACTATGGAGTAATAGATGCAAATTTTTAATACCTATGGATATATTATATTGAACTCTATTAAGAGCAATTTTAGACTCTCTGGAAATAAAAATAAGAGTTAGTCTCGATAATTACAAGGTTTGGGTGGAAACTGTCACCGATAAGAAGAATGCCTACATATGTAACTTCTATTTTATGGAACTTATTCTTTTTACGTTTCAAGGTAAGTCCTGCATCCTAAATTCTTTTCAACAGACTTTTGAGCCGGGTTTACAGTAGGCTACGAAAAACTGATACGAACTATCATACTTGAAAATGATTTCTACCAGTTTATACTGTCTACTATTAATCTGGCTTTAATAACTATTTTTTAACGTCTCGTTTAATTGATTGCATCATGTCATGAGTAAGTAACATGTTTCTTCACTTGCTTGATCTTTTTCCTAATTCCAAAAGGGGATGGTTCCAATTGTTCTTTCTTAACTTTACTATCTTCATGAATACTGTACACTTCAAAACTAAAGATGTGTAGTCTGTGCTAAATTTACAGATACCAGTCGAAATAGGAGTATATAGTTGACCAAAAAAATGCCTATTTTTAAATCCCTTTACACTCATGTCGTAAAAAATACAATAGAAAAATTTTAACTCTGATAAAATATGCACAAGCATCAACAGAAAATGTATTACCATTAAAAAAAAATTACATTATCTACTATAAGGTACTTTAAGTGGATAGACAGTTCTTAAATTTAATACAACGTTGTTTATAATGAGCAACAACAGAGCACAAAATTTAAAGAATATGTATTATTTCGATGAATCGCTAGAAAAATATCCACATTACTATACAATGCATCCTATTTTTGAACTAATTAGCTATTAATCTTCTATTGAAATACTACTTATTTACATACATTAATTTGTTTAAGTAGTGCAAGTATGAAAAAGTTAATATGCACAATAAAATTATTGTTCACATGCAAAAGTCTAATATAAATGAATGTAGGCGGATTTGTTCCAATTACTGCATTTACCAAATTGTATCTAATCTGTTCGTGTGATTTTATGTCCCTATTACTACTTTTAGTTCATTTTTAATAAATACAAATTTTTTTATAATTTATTAAGTTTACAGGAACATAGTATTATCCTAACAGGTAGAAAAAATTTTATTATAATTTTTATGAATTATGACTAGTTTTTTATTTAATTTAATGTAGTATGTAAATACTACGCACAAATGAATATACGATGGTTATTGTCAATTAATATTTTACAACTAAACATTGAAAACGAAATTTTATTGAATGGTATTCCCAATAATTAATTTATAATTATAATTAAGATCCACTAGCCTCGAAGGGCGCGTGATGCGCACAAAAGGTAAGTTTGACATCTAATATTACAATTAACTTTAGCACATTTCCTAATAGTGCAGGTTCAAATCGATATAATTTAACCTTTAATTCAATACTAATCGCTATCTCCCTTGTATAATAGGATTTTTGTAAATCATAAAACTCAGATGGCATCTGTTTCCACTAAACTGATAAAAATGTTTTAGAAATTTTACAAATAATTGTAATACTCTGTGTTTATATATTTCCGTAAGATGTCATCTTAACACTGTTAATGACAAAATTCATTGTTCTAAATTTGCTAAAAACACGCTTTATAACACCGTAACTATTTTGTATGATATTTTAAGATAAAATTTAAACACAAAAGTTTTATATCTTCAAGTATTTTTATTCCACAATAACTCTACTTTTTTTAATAACACCAGTTGTAAATAATTTCTTGGACTTCTGACGTTTCAGAAAAAGACGTTCAATACAAAAGTTGTGGTATTCAATAATGAATTATTATAAAATATTTGTTTAAGAACATAAATACTGGATCTTTAAACTTCGATCACAGGAACAACTTTTTTCTATAGAGGCTATGTATTGTAACACCAGATTCATTTGAATCTTTGATTTCTTTTCATTCATTTGAAAATAAAGTGACTATTTTAAATATTGTATAAGAAAAGTTCACAAATTTCAAACAATGCACATAAAAATATTTAATTCTCACCTTTTTCATTACTCATGGTGTATTTTTCATATCAAGATTATCTGGCTGACTATTTATTGGGTCATTTACCGTATGTGAGTGATAAGCAAAATACAACAATAGCAAAATTTTCCATCACGTGATTATAAGGCATTGTGTGATTTAAGCAAACAATAGAAAGTAGACACTTTGAACTCAAAATTTTCTTAAGCAGTTTATATTTAAATTTTCTAGCCCAAAATTATTAGTCCACAACTTAAAGAAGAAACGAAGCATACATTAAGATTTTCTACGAATATTACCAGATACGTGTGTCTAATTCGAACACACTGACAGCGACTGTTTTTCTAATTGAACGACATTTTCAAATGAATGTACTTGCATAATAGAAGCATGTACGCATATAAGGTTACATTTGATGCTAATGCATTAACTTTTAATTTTTTTCGATAAGGATGCGTAAATTCAAAAACAGCATTATAAACGTCATTGATCCCAGCATACATTAACTAAATTTATACATCACATTAACCGCAAAATTTTCCACCTCCATGATCGCAACATCAGTTTGATACATCTGATACTTTTGTTCTAGTAAGAAACTCATACAATTCTATTCAAGTGCAAAGGACATTCCACACGCTCTTAATGAGCTCCTATTCAAGCGTTTCAAGCGTCAGCAGGTATATATAATTTACTCGCCGAAGCATCGGTGGTATGGAAATAAATGTAGAAAAAAGCAAAAGAGATAAGAGTCAACATCAGACACACTTTCGCGAAAAAAAAAAAAAAAAAAAAACGTCAGACTTGACCCGCTTGACGTCAATGCGTGTGATGATGCGGGAGATGATGATATCTAGACTTTTTTTTCCATCTCCTTAGCTAATGCTCTTTCACTTTCTATACAATCAGTCCCTAAGAGAAAAAAGTAAAATATAGATGATGAGCTTTGACGAGCGAATATGAGCCTCTAATTTGTACGACCATCGTTTTTTCTTCATACCCGTCTTTCATCGACTTATTTCGACACGTGTAATATGATCACCGTATACGAGAATGAACATAAAAGATCTTTTTATTTTTGCATCTTATTTTTGGAACAGCTAAGGGTAGCCCCTTGCTGGTTTTTGACGTGAGACTATATTAAGTAGAATTAGATCATTGCATTACTATATAATTATACCGACTAATTTTGCTTACGAAATGAATATAAGTACCTAGTATTTGTATCATAAAAAATACCGAACTGACTAATAATAAATGTTGTCCTGTTCTTTATTCTGTCGAATGCATGAATATGTTAAGCAGTTAACCTGTTGGTCCTTTTTTAGTTCGCTATGGTTATTCGACGAAATAAGAACTCGTACATAATAATATCATTTTTCGGAGAATATTTCTTTCCATCGCTATATTTATACAGAGGATGAGAGTTTTTTTCCATACTTAGAGACACCGGTAAACTCATCTGTGAGATCAACGATTCGAAATTTAAATTTTACTGCGAAGTTTTTTCTCGAAAAAGCTCAGCTAACTACGTAATTTGCTATTTTCGTTAAAGGCATTCAATAAAAATTTAAGTAAGGTTCATTTGTTCAGTAAATATTACGAAAAAAATTAAGTTTCTAAAATTGACTATTCGTGCATAACGTATAACTTCATAGATAGGCAAGGAAATATTTGTTAATGTAAGTTGCGAATTTTAGTAGGGTGGTTATTTAAAACAATAGAAAGAAAATATTACAACTACTAGATATTGCTTTATTTGTTGCTCAATGGGATGGTATAATATTTATAATTAGGCTGTTTGTTTTGTGAATTGAAAGTAGTTTAATTAATATTACTTCACAACAGCATTCAAAACTTGAACTGTCTAATTTGAATTACTCGTGATTTATTGATAATAATTCATTATTTATTTTAATTAACTAATAAGGCAAATTTTTACAATTAATTTGTATTTATCACCTACGAAGGGCATATCACTGTTAAAAAACAGTTGTGTATATGTCTTTGCAGGTAGCGTACTGCATATAATAATATTAGGACTCTATGAAGTGCTCATCTGAAATCTGTTCACTTGCTGCAAACCATATTGTAAAATAGCACACTGTAAGGCTTAGTCCCTCACAGAATTGAGGATACGATATACCAAACAGAAAATACATGCACGAAAATACAAATACGCACATGACATTGTCCTTCGATCGCCGGGCTGTGTGGTGCAGCACGCCGATCAAGTGCAACAGCAGCATGTAGTTTGCCCTCGACAGACAGTCCAAAGTGCTGCAAACCAAACGAACGATAAATAAATGGATAATCATACATGATAAAGTAGCTTCACTGCGATAAAAATATCACGAGTCGTACCTTTTGATCGTCTTGAGTGGGTCCGGAGACTCAAGGCTGTCAATCCACAGGGAGAAAAGGTGAGAAGTAAGGAGAGAATTGGGCAAAGATCTCAGGAAGTCCTTGAGTAGGGCGGCCACTGCGAGTACAGACGCATCCTCAAGACAGCTGATGTAGCCCGAGGACTCGGTCTGGTCCCTGAGCTCTCGGACGACCCTCAGGTTGGCGGATTTGCGGAAGATACCTTGGGCGGAGGGGCCCTTGGCGAGGAGCTGCTGCAGCATGACAAGGACCGGCTTGGAAAGGCCACTTTCATCGAGCCGTGCCTGATTGACGCCAAAGACGCGGGGACTCAGGGAGGGGAACCTTCTCAGGAGGCCCCATATCCGGAATTTGTGTAACTTGGCGTTACCATTGACCGACGCCAAATTTCACGCGTTGGTTCCCATGTACTTCTCGTACTCAGCAAGCCTCTGAACCTGAAAGGCAAAACCTTTTAGAATTTGGTTAGTCGTTACTTTTTTATTCTGAGACAGAGAAACACTTTTATTCCTATAAGTAGACCAAAATCTTTACATCGGTACTTGTATTGGGGAAAAATTATTTTTTTGATTTCTTTTTTTGCGGGAAAAATAGCGAACGTGGGACGAACATTTTGTAAGGCGAACAATAAAGTGTAATTTGCAAAGTAGAGATGATAAACATGCGGACTCTCTAAACTGCGCGTGCCTCGAGCACGTGTCTAAAATTAATGAGACATTGTGTCGACTATATAGCAGATTATTTTTCTTGCCTGTCCGTATGATCTACGTAAATAATAAATACACTACCCGAATAAATCCGTATGGACTAAGCCCTCAATATTTCCAAGCAGAAAATCTTATTTGATGCTGTCGCCTTAATACTTGTGTGCATATACGTGAGAGACAGAAAAAAAGGGCCCTTCCCGGTGCCCCAAAACTGTAATCAACGAAATTCCAAATGTAAGATGCGTCACGCACACGAGCAGGGAAATTCGACTTTCTCGGTCTCCTTTTTCTCTACTGCAAGTACATGCAGCGTTTGTCGTTCGGTCCCAAAGGGAAGATTCGATTTTATCGTGCCAGTTTCCTTTACTTGAAATGTTTATCTTCGTTTTCTTAATGAGACAATCGCACATGCACCGGATCCAATGAATCGTTTGTACATGCGCGAGAAAAAAAGCAATGCTGTAGAATGGGTGTAAGATTTTGGCTTTAATCAGTGTAATAGTATTCAGCGAAGATTAAAAAAGTGCGGAGGAAAAAAAAATGAAGAGCATAAGTACCGATGGCTCGAAAATCGAAATTTACACTACATTGGAGAGCGAGTAAGAAAACTAGCTTTGTGATTAACTCAAGCCCCGTTTTTAAAATACGGGAGTTTGCGGCTTGTGGACGGGGAAAATCAACATATAGTTCAGTGCTCCAGGCAAAAATTTAATTTATTTTTCCGACAACTTTGGACTTTGTAGGAAATTTTCATAACTGTCCAAAATTGTCAGTTATAATTTTCCTTCTGCACCGGACCAACATTATGTTATATTCGGCACTGCTAGAGGAATTTTAATTGTATGTACGACTGTCTTATAATATTATCCTCCTGCACTGATGCCTTTTGGATACGTAAGTAACACTCGCGATAAAAATTCAAAAGCGCACAGCAGTGAAAATTTGTTACCCGGTTATTTACTTTAAATATTTTATACAACTAACTCATATGGGAGCGCGTGCACTGCAACTATTGTACACTTATTTGAGCATCGTCTCTAACTATCATCACAAGCTTGTGATTGAAAGAACAAGGACCTGAATTAATTTACTTTCAGTTGTTACTTGAAAAAACTCAAAAATTTCAGTGCATTATGGCTTCCTTCTCAGTGATCGTGTCCTTAACGCCATACCCACATTTTCCCGACTAACGATGAGCAGATGGTTCTCTGGGGAACGACCCGGAGACGAGATATTCTTTGGTCAGTGGCATACCTCCCTCCATCACAGTCTCCGTACGTAGAGACTTCGAGGGTAAGAGTCAAGCTACCCGCAGCCAGCTCTTCATTATCAGGAATAATAATAATTTTAAAGATCTTGATTAATCATTTAAAGTACATTTTTTTCATTTTAATTTGTTGTTAAAAGTTATTTCTATTCAACCAGTGCCACTTTTTACTGTTCAAAACACTACTTTAATTTGGAATCAGAAACACATGGAAAACTTTTGTTTTTTAACATATTTTTTCGTATAATGAAGTTGGGCCATGATTTTTGTAGAAGTTAAATTTTTTTCCATGATTTGTATAAAAAACTTATTCTCACAAGTCTTACTTTCCAAAATCATATCAAATACTTTTCAAATTACTCAAAATTTTTTTCTAAAATCCTATTCACGCACTTTACTATTGGGAATCAATATAAAGTATTCGAGAAACGCAAAAAATCTGTAAAAAAATAGGAAAATTGTGATTTTTAAATTTTGTTTTGTTAAAATATGGTAACAAACAAAATATTAGCAAAATATAAACTACACTATTGACAATATCGACCTTAAACATTGTGGGAATATGTTTTTCCTACTTTTTGAATGGACATATTCACATTTGTTAGTCCGAAAAATAAAAATCTGTCTATCGTTTTAACAAAAATTGATATTATTTCACATTGAAGGCTGAAAAAAAATTGCATAAATCTGCAGTGCGTGTTCTTGGATTTTTTTTTAATATTCAGGTTACTACCAATAAAAAAAAAAAAAATTAATAATGAGGTGTAGCTTGATATTTAAATTTGGCACTCTTAGGTACCCTGAAAAGTGAGAAATGAAAGGGGAATCCCTCATATAACTAATTACTGCTGACAAGAAATTCAATTATCAATAACGTAAACTTTGATATCTGGGTTGTGGGAGTATAATGATTGTATTTGAGTGATACGATTTTTGTATTCAAATTTTGTCGCCAAGCAGGCAATATCTTCAGCGACACTGTACTATGATGTCTGCAATGAATCCAGAAAGTACCTGCAGTAGACAATCCTACACCGTTGGCAAGACTGATTTATCTTAAGAATACTCGTCGGACATACATTCGTTCCCCAAAAAATTGAGAAATTAAATTTTTTTGGCTGGTTTCATTTCATTACTTCCCGGCACTCGTGGATTTTAAATTATCTATTTAACAAATATACATCCTACTAATAAAATGTACTGGCTAGATTATTTAAAATTATTTTTAGCAGTCACCTGTATAAGATATCTCTTCGTAAAAAAAAAAAAAAAAAAATGAATAAAGAACATCTGAAATTATTGTGTAATTAAATAAAAAATATTACAGAGGAATATGTACGACGAAGCTGTGTCAATAAATGGGCAGTAGTGTGTATACAGTTGTATCTCAAGATGTTATTCACTAATTCTGATTCACTGTGGATTGTTTTATTTTTACATTCTCATCGATGATAAAAATGGAAATTTTGGTTCACTGACTAACTTTTTTTTTTTTTTTGTAAAAATCGAGTTTTTCAAAAAGCATCTTTTCAGACTTGCTGCAAGAAAACCTCAAAGATCATGAAAGTTTATGTAAAAAAAAAACCTGTACAGATAGTTGATACGTAATTTAACTATGAATCCTTTTTAATTTTTTAAAGATGAGAAGAAGTCCAAAATTTGTTGATCACAATTCTATGAGTTACAGATTTGCTAGGTACGTCTAAGACTTTATCAAGCGACTGCCAAGATACTCCGGGACTGTTTTGGCCAAAAAAGTTTAATTTATTCTCGTTGTACGGAATCATCAGTCACTGAATTTTTGATAGCCTTGTGTTTAAATGTATAAATAAGACAGGCAAATAAAAAGTAACGAGTTTTAACGCAGTTGTATGAATGCAGAGTGATTTTTGTTTGTTTGTAAATTTTTTATTCTTATTGGACGTAAACCAAATCATTGAACACATGATAAAATTCATGCGTCATGCGCACCACTCGATGTGCTCACGAGTTATGAAAAACTGAATCAACACGAAAGGACTTTAATTTTCCTTGCAAACGTCCACAAGTTCGTAACTATCCGCATACGTTATGGAAATCATACAAGCTCCAGTCACCCATACGACCCGATTTATGTTGCTTTCCCATCGAGAGAGTACTGAGACGTAAATTGTTCGATCATATCATCTCTTTGGATTAACACGGCAGCCGCGTGAAACGTCCTTAAGCAACAGCGATGAGTATTCATCAAAACTCGTTTGCGAGAAATTAATTCGATTTATGTGCAAATGGAAAAGGGGGGTGTGATGAGAAGATTTCTTTTTTTTTTTTTTTTCTTAATTGATGCATCGGGCTTGACGCTCGTGCGTCAGTCGTCGAGGAAAAAAAAAAAGAAAAAATACCAGTGATAAGTTGGCCACTGGAAACCCCCGCGTTCCGTATTATTTCTAAAAATCAATAGGATATCATCTGTCAGTGTTATGGATAATTAGTGCACTCTATCGTAATATTTTCTCACTGCCCCTTTCGATTATCATTTTGTCAGACAAAGGTTGGAAGTGGCATTTAGAGTATCCTTCGATGCGATGCACTTGATGCATTCACTCGTGAAATTAATTTTAAAAAAAATTCCCACCACGTACCCCAACTAGTAGGCACGCACAACTAGTGGGTGGGGTACAGAAGTAAGGCTCCCCCAGAGGGTTGAAGGGATGCGATAAAATGTAGGAGGAAAAGCTGTACCTCCCCGGGAGGATAGGGGAAAAGTATGGAAAGGCGTGGGTGGTAAGAAAGAGCGAAATATACAGTTGGCCAGACGCATGGATGGGGGTGGTACCTCTGGCGAGCAGGGAGGCGCGTCTGCGTCGTTTGATCGCACTGGCGGTGCAATGGTTTATATTAGACGCCTGACGCTGCTACCACCCGATCACAAGTCTGCGAACTCTCCAACTGCCTCTACGCGTCGTGTGCTCGGGTTACGCAGCTTCAGCCGAAACCAGATACTCTTTACGTGATCTACTCATTGATTTTTTTGACAAAGTTCAATTTTAATAACTACACCATACTTTTTTCCGAGTGCTATTTTGGATTCTTCTGATCAGAGGACTTGGGGCCCATCCAGCCGATAAACCACAACTGTCTTCGAAAGTACGCCAGACAGGTAGGAGTTGTACTCGGGATTGTCAAACTTGTATTATGTTTTTATTTTTTGCTACATCAGCAATTTCCGTCAGACAGTTGAGATTTAGGGCTTACTTCGATTTTTGGTATTGCACGCAGAAAAGCTTGTTAGAAATATGGCAGAACTCATTAAAAAGAAATTTCACGGAAGTTTGAACGACAACTAAAGTAAAAATTTTTCACTATTTCTTTGATATATTTTGATGATCAGTAACAAAGAATATCAAAAAATTAAAAAGATCCTTCTAACTATCGCTAAAAGCATCAATTCTGTACCATATTGTTCTTTAAACTTAAGAGGGACTTGGAACCTGGTTT